TGCTGGAGCAGTTGGCCATTCATAGACAAAAAGTGAACCTTAAGTGTTATGCCTTATACAAAAGTGAACTCAAATGGATAAATGTAAAATGTAAAACTGTGAAAATTTCAGAAAAAATGAAGATCTGCAGGATTATACTAGGGAGAAAGTTAGACTTTATACCCAAAGCATAATTTATATAAGGAAGCATTCATAAATTGGACTTTATGAAAATTTAGAATTTTTGCTCTCCAAAAACCCTATGAAGAGGATAAGAAGACATGCCAGAGGCTGGGACAGTGTAGTTGCAAGCCACATATCCAGCAAAAGACTTTATCTAGAATACAGAAAGAATTTTCAAACTCAACAGTAAAAAAAAAAAAACAAATAATTCAGTAAGAAAATAGGCAAAAGATCTGCACAGACATCTCACAGAAATAGATATACAGATAAATATAGAGGGAAATAACACATGAAAAAATATTAAACATCATTAGCCATTAAGAAAATTTAAACTAAAATCACAAGGAGATTATTGCACACGTATCAGAAAGGGTAAAATAAAAAAATAATAGTGACAGGGCGCCTGGGTGGCTCAGTTGGTTAAGCGACTGCCTTCGGCTCAGGTCATGATCCCGGAGTCCTGGGATCGAGTCCCGCATCAGGCTCCCTGCTTGGTGAGGAAACTGCTTCTCCCTCTGACCCTCTCCCCTCTCATGTACTCTGTCTCTCTCATTCTTGCTCTCTCAAATAAATAAATCTTAAAAAAATAAAAATAAAAATAATAGTGACAACATCAACTTCTGGCAAAGATGTAAAGAAATTGGATCACTCATAAATTGTTGATGGGAATATAAAGTAGTATAACTATTATAACTACTAGTATAACTACTCTGAAAAACAGTGTTTCAGTTTATTAGAGAACTGAACATGGAACTAACCTACAACTCAACAATTGCACTAATGGACATTTATTCAGAGAAAAAAAGTTATAGTCACACAAAAGTATTTACATAGATGTTCATAAAAGTTTAACTCATAATATGACCAAACAAACAAAAAAGTATTTTCTAAAAGTGCTATTAGTCACATGGCCATATTCTTTTTAAGTGTTCATAGTAGAAGAGAAGCTTCAAAATTGTGGCAGAAATAAAGAAAATGCTGAAATTACATGCTATCAATGTAAGGATAAGGTCATAGTTGGACAATAAAAAATAAAGAAGTGGGTGAATGAGAAATGACAAATTTTTTTAAAAAATTAAAGTTTGTATTAATAATGGTGAGTAATTTGAGAAATAATTTATTGATTTTTATTCTAACAGCCAACAAATAACATATTGTGCTGTGTATCTACTTGCCAGAAAAAGCTTTTCAGTCATTGACAAGGAATATATATTAGACAACAGGTGAAGTCAGGCTTTTACACAGCTAAGCTAAAACACTCAAGTCAAACTTAATGTAAAAATGAAATTGGCAGAATATATGAAATCCTTTCCCTTTCTATCAGAGGTGCTGCTGACTGTATTAGATGAAAATGCTAAAGGAAGTAGATACCGTCAAATATTATAGGCATAAGGGTACAAGAACATAAATGCTAGAAACAATATTGCAGCTCAGTTTTTTTTTAATAGAATATAAGTGGAAAATTATTACCAGGTTATTCTTCAATAGAAGGCAACAAAAATCAAATGTATGTAAGACTTTTCAATCAGTCTTAGAATAAATGTCATTTTAAAGGTTGTGACATTTAATTTTCTTAAGAAAAGAGAGAAGATTTTTTTTTTAATTTTAGTGAATGGAACAATTTTAAAAATGAATAACAGAGGGTAAATAAAATTGTTTTTGCTTTCTGCCCGCAGCTACTATGCAATACTCAAAAGAGTTTAAAATATCTGAGGCAGAATGAGAAATATTCTCTGAGCATCTGAAAAAAAAATACATATACACACACATACACCCACTATAAACACACAAATAAAATGCTCTGTCATGTTATTTACTTGCCAGAAATAGTTTCAATAGCTGAAGAGAAATAGATGTGTGAGATCTTTCCTTAGTTTAGAGTTTAGACTAAGTTGTTGTTACAATCATCATAAAAGTGGGAGAAACAGGTATTACTATACTGAATAAGTAACTTCATTACAGTGAGAAATACAAGTATAGATGCAATGATATTATTTATTTAAATAAGCAAAATCAGTACATTTAAGTAGAAAAATCTACTAGTAAAATTGTTATAGAATCTCATTTCTTAAAAAAGGAATTTCAGAGATAATTATATTAATATTATATTAATAATATATTAATATTAATTTTAAGCACAGAAAAATATTTTAGAAAATCAGTTCTTAAAATGTTATAAAATATCACAAACTCAAAGGGATCAAAGGTTGATACAGTGCAGTACTCTCTCAAATGTGTTATAGTTGTGAAAACTAATTATAGACTACAATTTAGCTTTAGAATTCAGTCAAATTCACGATATGTTAACTAAAGATGATATAGTATTATATACCTAGTCTTGAATCCGTTACTATCATTTTTTGAAAAATAATAAAAGAAAGATGAATTGATCAAATGCAAATGAGAATTCACATTTATGAAGGGCTTTTAAAGGGCAATAAATTCATATCTACAATGTTATAACAACAGAGTGCTAATATTTAATAAATTCCCATATTCCAAAATAAATCTTAATAGAAATGTTAAATAGGAAGAGTTTTGCATAGCTTAGGAGAAATTCTGTTCAACACCAAATATGTTGGGTATCTGCCAGAGTCAACCTTCATGTTTCTTCTTAAATAATATTGTAGAAAATAAGACCAGATGAAAAAAAAAAAAAAGAAGACCAGATGTATGAAATAAGTTGTTGTTTTTTGTTCATTCCTCATTTTTATGTGAAAAATTATCAAATACTTGCTGAGCAAGCATGTGCAGCTTTGTACTAAATGCTACAAATTAAAAATGACTGAAATTTATTTCCAGCCCTCAATTAGTTTATGTATAATAAAAGGCATGAAGATAACCCAAATGAAACAAAAATTATAAGGAAAAGCAAGCATCTCTCTGTTGAAGTCAGAGGCCACATCTTTTTCATCTTTGTTTTTTTGACACATGATATGAGTTATTTATACAATCTGTGGTTGTTGAATGAACTAATAAAAATGTCATCTGGAGATAAACCTTTGATTTCTCAATTATTGAGGGGAAGTAGCTATGTGGAGTATTTGGAATTTTCCATAAAGTACTCTTGTCACTTCTCTTCAGTTTATGTATTTACTCATTTGTTTATATAATTATGAACTTGTATGTATTTATTTAATTCATTGGGTTATAATTGGCTTATATATTATTTATTTTGTTGTTCAGATTTTCCAGCTTTAACAAGTGGGAGTTCTTCCAGTTTGATTTTTGTGTCCCTGTAACATACTCCATTTTTCAGTTTTTAAAGCACTCCTTTTTTTGCGTCAGGCTCATCTTACATTTTCCTTTTTGTAACCATGGAATAGGTCATCTCTCCAAACAGTCCCTGATTCCTTTAAAAATTCAATAATAAGACCCTTTCCCTACTCAAAAAAAAAAAAAAAATCACATAGGCAGAATTTTGATCAGATACTTCTCAAAAAAAAATTCACTAGTTATCAGACAAATGCAAATTGAAACCACCATTTAATACCACTGCATACATATGAGAATAGCTAACATGTAAAAAAGACAGACTATGGTCTGTTTAGGATGGGGAACGACTCCAAATCTAGATACATTGCTTGGAGTCAAACACAAAAGACTACATATTGCATGATTCCCCTTATATGAGTGAAAAATTGAACAGCTACTTTGGAACAGTATGACAGTGTCTAATGAGATATAATATACACTTACCATACTACTCACAAATCCCATATTTAGGTATTTAACCATGAGAAGTGAAAACAAATATCTACACAAAAATATTTTCTCCAGCTTTATTGAGATATAAATGACATAAAATACTGTCTGAGTTTAAGGTGTGAAATGTATTGGTTGGATACATTTTCTACTGGGAAATGATTATCACCATGACATTAACTAGCACCTCCCTCTCATCTCATAGGAACATGCATATATCTGTATATGTATCTTGTTTCGCATTTGAAGTGATCACCTAAGGCATGGCCATAGTAGGTCCCTCAGTAAAGATCTGTTCAATAGAAAGCTTTAATTAAGTTAAGAAAAAGTATATTTGCTCCTAGACAATCATATAAATCATATATATACACAAATTATATAAATTATATATATACAAATTATATAAAATATATATAAATAAAATATATAAAAATATTTTATATATGCATATGTATATATCTTATATAGAGAGTATATTATATATATATATATATATATACTGCATAGTAACTATTAAGAGTGTTAGAAACATTTTTTTCTAAATATAATAGCAGTTGTGGATATTATGACATGAATTTATTTTTCTAAAAGAAAACTTAATTTTCTCTTCCAACTTTTATGGATCGAATACCTGATTTTTATATTGTATTTGAAGGATTCATGTAAAATCTCCAATATTCTTTGTGAGTGAAGATGAGGAAAATATAAGTAAGAAGGAAGGGAAGGATGATAAGAAGGAGGAAAAAGGGGAGAAGGAAATGAAGAAAGAAAGCAGAAGGAATGACATAAAAAAAGGATGCTAGTTAATTACAGTGTGTCAAAAAGTGAACATTCTTAAAATTAGAAGAATAAAAACCGATCATCCTAAATACAGGTTCTCTGGTGTTAAGTGAATTTGCTCAACATTTTCCCAAAGTAACCAAAAGAAAACTTGAAAGTAATACAAAATTTTTAAAAAGAATGATTCTATTTTAGGAAAGGGCAAAGAGAAAAAACTGCTAATGTCGCCATAGTGTTGAGATTCCTTGGCAATGTACCATTTTTTTTTTCTTTTAGAAAGCATAACAGGAAAAGTTACTCATATACATATAATTCTCCAAAATTCACATGAAATGTCTGAAAATAGCACCTACCTTAGAAAAATGTACTTTTTTCCAGACCAATGGATATGTGATTGAAGCCACCATTATACAAGCTATAATCACATTTCCTTTGCAGCTGATGTGAATTATCCTTAAAGGTTGTTGGCAACACATTCATTTGGAATAGGAATATATTCAGATTTTGAAATGTAGATTTTTCTCTTGGGCATTCAGTTTAGTTCTCCATCATTTGTCTTCCATTCTTTCTTGTATATAGATCAGAAGAGACTCCCAAATCCTTTTTTTTTTTCATATATATGTAAGAATCCTTGTCTGCAAGTGTCTGGAGACTACCCAGAAATGCTATTTTTAGAATGGCATTTGTTTGCCTTAGAAGCAAAAAATAATTTTTTGACATGTTTTTCAGATAATAATTAGGTAATAGTGTTACGGGGCTCTTTGCAAATATTAGCCAGAATACATTTTATGAAAGATTACTCATTTTCTTAGATTTACTGGGGTAGAAAATTAGTCCTGTGTTGAAGCACTATTACATTTTCCTCACAAATAATTTGAGAATTCATTGAAAATGCTGTTAAATAGTAGTAACCAAGGGGTGCCTGGGTGGCTCAGTTGGTTAAGTGTCTGCCTTCAGCTCAGGGGTCCTGGGATCAAGCCCACTTTGGCTCCCTGCTCAGTGAGAAGCCTGTTTCTCCCTCTCCCTGCACTGCCCCCACACCCATCATGCTCTGTCTCTTGCTATCTCTCTCTCAAATAAATAAATAAAATCTTTAAAAAAATAGTAGCAACCAGTGTTCACTTGATAATATTTCACTTTTTTAGTATTATCGAAGAATACTGGATTCCACTGAAATTAATTTTTCAAGCAGTTAAGGTTTAGCTTTTTAATTATCAAATTTTCATTGGGAATAACATCTTATTTGGAAGTCAATTGTAATTTTTTTATTTTTTGTAATGCTCTTAAATACTGAATTATATCTAATTTATTGGAAATGTGTTTCTATACCAGTATTTCGGCTAGTTTCTGTCAGTCAGTTTTTTTATTCATGTAGTAATGGAGATTTAAAGAATTCAAAACTACCCTAGTGTTTATATAAATATGCTTTATAGACTGCTACTATTACATGTAACTAAGATACCTGTTAAAAATGTTGATACTTATGCCTATCTCTCAGAGATTTTGATTCAGTAGTCTAGGTTATGACCTAAGAATTTATATAATTAACAAATAACTCAACATGACTTTTATGCATTAAAATTAGAAAATTACCTAGCTATATTTTGTAAGAGGTGATATTAATGGAAATGAGTGAAGAATGCATTCTCACCATCTCAGAGAACAAATTTGATATGCAATTTTATGTTACAAGTGGTAAATAAAAGGTGTTTTAATTTTCTTTTTTTTATTATGTTACGTTAGTCACCATACAGTACATCATTAGTTTTTGATATGGTGATCCACGATCCATTGTTTTCATATAACACCCAGTGCTCCATGTAGTACGTGACCTCCTTAATACCCATCACCGGGCTAACAACTCCTCCCTCCCCCCTCCCCTCTAAAACCCTCAGATTGTTTCCCTGAGTCCATAGTCTCTCATGGTTCATCTCCCCCTCTGATTTTCCACCCTTCATTTTTCCTTTCCTTCTCCTAATGTCCTCCATGCTGTTCCTTATGTTCCACAAATAAGTGAAACCATATGATAATTGTCTTTCTCTGCTTGACTTATTTCACTTAGCATAATCTCCTCCAGTTCCATCCATGTTGATGCAAATGTTGGGTATTCATCCTTTCTGATGGCTGAGTAATATTCTATTATATATATGAACCACATCTTCTTTATCCATTTGTTTGTTGAAGGGTATCTCGGCTCCTTCCATGGTTTGGCTATCGTGGACATTGCTGCTATGAACATTGGGGTGCATGTGGCCCTTCTTTTCACTACATCTGTATCTTTCGGGTAAATACCCAGTAGTACAATTGCTGTGTTATAGGATAGCTGTATTTTTAACTTTTTGAGGAACCTCCATACTGTTTTCCAAAGTGGCTGTACCAACTTGCATTCCCACCAACAGTGTAAGAAGCTTCCCCTTTCTTCGTACCCTGTCCAACATTTGTTGTTTCTTGCCTTGTCAATTTTTGCCATTCTAACTGGTGTAAGGAGGTATCTCAATGTGGTTTTGATTTGAATTTCCCTGATGGCTAATGATGTTGAACATTTTTTCATGTGTCTGTTAGCCATTTGTATATCTTCTTTGGAGAAGTGTCTGTTCATGTCTTCTGCCCATTTTTTTGACTTGATTATTTGTTTTTTGGTGTTGGTTTGAAAATTTCTTTATAGATCTTGGATACCAACCCTTTATCTGTAGTGTCATTTGCAAATATCTTCTCCCATTCTGTGGGTTGCACTTTGTTTTGTTGACTGTTTCTTTTGCTGTGCAGAAGGTTTTTATCTTGATGAAATCCCAGAAGTTCATTTTCACTTTTGTTTCCCTTGCCTTTGGAGATGTGTCTTGAAAGAAGTTGCTGTGGCCAATATCGAAGAGGTTACTGCCTATGTTCTCCTCCAGGATTTTGATGGATTCCTGTCTCACACTGAGGTCTTTCATCCATATCTTTGTGTATGGTGCGAGAGCATGGTGGAGTTTCATTCTTCTGTATATTGCTGTGCAGTTTTCCCAACACCATGTATTGAAGAGACTGTCTTTTTTCTATTGGATATTTTTTCCTGTTTTGTCAAAGATTAGTTGACCATAGAGTTGAGGGTCCATATCTGGGCTCTCTGTTCTGTTCCATTGGTCTATATGTCTGTTTTTGTGCTAGTACCATGCTGTCTTGGTGATCACTGCTTTGTAATATAGCTTGAAATCAGGCAACGTGATGCCCCCAGCTTTGTTTTTCTTTTTCAACATTTCCTTGGTGATTCAGGGTCTTTTGTGTTTTAATTTTCTTAAGAAAATTTCCTTTGGAGATTATAGCACAACTCATTTAAATGAAAAATGGATGCTGTTAATTCCAAATGGGTCTTATCTAGTCATCAAAGCTGGCCTGGCAGAATCTCTACATACAAAATACTTGACAGCACATAATTGAACTGAGTGCTTAAGGAATATAAAATGGTATTTATTTACAACTCAAATTCCTCCAAATAAATAAATAAGTTCTAGTTAGTGAGGTGGTAAAATATGAGATACCCCCCCAATATTTTCCCTTTATCTAGAGATTCCAAGGCAACAAATTTTACTTGTAATATATAAAACATATCATATCAATTTTCATATAATGCCTCTATGTACTTCAATTATGCTTCCTCAACATATATCTAAATGTCTTATACTTTTTCCATGGTAGAAATTCAATTTAAAATTATATTTAATGCATATAAATAAGTTATTCCTGTGGTTTCCTAAAAATAATTGAAAAAGCAAACAGTAGTTATTTTTGAACAATTGTTATATAATATTTTTTTCTGACTTGTTTCCTATAAATAGAAAAAAATGGGGAGGAGAGACCTCAAAACCTCAAAATTGGAGTGAATATATAAAAAATATTTGGTATAACTATTTTGAAAGCTCTATGTAATTTATTATTGCATTCACATACACAAAATACTCATTACCTGCTGAAATACTGAATTTCTGTAGGAACATTTTAAGAAGTCAGGAAAGAAAGAATGATAGAATAAATTCTTGGGTACATTCAAAGACTTGTGAATTTCTTGTGATTAGATGTTTCTATACATTTGTGGTAGGTTCAGTAAAAATTTAGTATGGGAAATAAAAAATACATTAGACTTTGCAACAGAAGAAATTTAAGATAAGGAATCCATCATATTTCATTGTGAAATGTGCTTTGGATTTCCATGGTTGGGGCTGTATACATAGCAGCTCTATAGCTGCTGCTAGTAACTAGGTGGTGGTCCTGGGTGTAGTCCAAGGATTATTGAAGAGACTTGTAATAGAAATTATAAAAATGGCAGGAGTCTACAGTCAAGTGCCAATGCCGAGTGAAGTCTAGTTTCTTCTAGTGAGGCTAATTCCTCTTGCTGGTGCCATGTTGACAAGAAAGTGAAGATTCTTCTTCCTTCATGCCTTTGAGTCCTTTTTAAATTCCCTCCAGGCAAAAGCTAACAGGAAATCAGATGGCAAAGGTATCTGGGAAATGTAGTTTGCAGAGTTCTAAGCACAGCTTCATAGCTCACAGAAGAGAATAGTGAATTTAAAGGTACAAGACAAGGAACCTTTATTGTCCTTACAAATGTTCAAAAGGACACTATATATATATATATTTATAATAACCTTTGCGTAAGAGCCCTGATATGAAAAGAAAGGCTATTTGTGATAGTTTCAGATGCTGGAGGGGCATGTAGAGGATTGTCTGTTTACTGTAAAGGATTAAGAATATATCATTATTAGACTACTTGTTGCATTTTTCTTAGCTGGTTACCTGACTGGTTTTCCATTAAAACATGATATTTCTATGGGATCTTAATATTTGTTGTGCATAGCATTTTGGGATATGGTGAGTGCTCAGAAATTTTGAATGAATCCATGAGGACATGGATTGACTCAGAATGTTACCTGAGATTTGGAGATAATAACATCATATCAGTTTCATAATGCTGAGGAAATAGAACTTTCTTCTGTTACTTCACAACTTCTGTGTTTGATTGAAATAAGAGGTGTCTCCTAATTAAATATTAAGAGAATTCAAAGGAATCATAAGCAATATTTAATCAAAATGAGAAGACTATGGGTAAAAGAATGTAGTTTTATTTTCTACACATTATCCTTGATTATACAACATTGAAAACCAAATGACTATTTTAAATTTAGTAGCAGGATTCTTTTATTTGTATATGTCTGCCTATACATGAAACTTGGTAAATGTTTATTGTGACAAAAAATTAGTGCTTTTCTTCAAAGCAGTCAACAGTTTCCTTTTTTTCCTCCTTTTATTGTCTCCTTAAATGACTTTACAAAGGAAATTTCATGCCAACTCCCACATATTCCACATTTAAGTTATCTTCACTGCCACACATTTTCCTTTATTTTTCCTACTGGAACTTGACCCTGTCTAAGCATGAAATCATCAGTCTGAGTTTGAAATCAGGTTCCTTATCTTGAATATTAGGGCCATATGCTCCAATTAGGTGTCATAGTGATAACTGGGAATTGTGTTTGTACTATTTTAAACTAAAATTGACATGTATGGAGAAAATAATAATGAAATAATTTGTTTCATTCTCCCCTGTCTTTCTTGCCCTAGTGCTTTGCCTTTCTGATGATGTGGTCAACCACAAGCACGGTTATGTGAAGACA